AAAGTGCTATAGTGATGTAAAATCATATCAGGCATTCCAACTTTTACTTGAAACTACTATATTAGCATCACAATATACATAGTAGAAGTACTGATGACACAGAATTAACCATTTAAGAATGGTTATAAGTATTGATGCTTTTATGTGTGTCACTGAAATGTATCAGTTGTTGAAAGTGTGGCTAATTTTAATGGTTTTATATACTGCTGGGTAGTTCACTCACTAAAACTGTCAAAATGAAATTAAATACATTTGCCTCTAAAATGTAGTAGAGTGAAAGTAGAAAGTTGCATTAAATGGAAGTACACAAGGGAAGTACAGGTACCTTAAAATTAACAAATTATTTATATGTATTTTTTATTTTGGGCTTTTATTGCCTTTAATGGATAGTGACAGTTGAAGAGTGACAAGAGAGGGGATGGCCTTGGCACATGGGGCACCAGTTCTACCAGGTGAGCTATCTGGGCGACTCAAGTGAGGACAAATCATAAACAAAGAGTGCCACCGGTCTTATTTTGATGCAGAGATCTGTGCATTTGCAGGACTGTAGCACAACATTAAAGTGAAAGCAGTGCTCTGTTCATTTAAATGTGACAGTGTTATCAAACAAAAGTCCCTAAAATTAATGAATAATCTGAATAAATAATCAGGACCTCAATATTGATCAGTAAAAGCATGATTATCATTTTGGCCATAATCAAGCAGCCCTTCTTAAAACAAAGGTAGGCAATGTCCGGCTCCACATGCAGCTCTTAAGCCCCTGTCCAGCGGCTTCCTGTGGCTTATTATTTTTTAACATTTTCATTTATCACCGTTGTAGGCCTTACATTGTCCAATTTTAAAGATGTGTAGCCATTACACACAACAATGTGCGTCTCCTCTATATCTTGGTGAACCTCAATAGTGGTGGCTACTGGTCTTGAGTCTCCCTAGGTAGGCCAGTTATGGATTCCAAATCCAACAAAAAAAAAGCCTCAGAGGAAAACAAAGAATTTGATGCGCAGACAGATTTTTTTCAAAAGTTCAGGTTCACGATGAAATCTGCAAAAATAGACTCAATGAGTATAACAAGTACGTTAAACAGGCCAGATAGTATTTCCTCTCTCAAATCATGAATGAAAATATCAACAACTGAAAAGTGTTCTTCTCCACTGATCTACCATCAGAGATGCTGTCTACTAAAAATTGTGAATAATTCATACACCGATCAGCCATAACATTGTGAGCACAGACAGGTGAAGTGAATAACACTGATTATCTGGTTATCATGGCACCTGTCAGTGGGTGGGATATA